CGTTTATTTTCTTTAACTAATGAAGCCTAGAATCTTTTTTACCTGCTCCTAAAAGTACTCTTGATCATTGCTCCCCTCAACTTGTCCGGTCCGATACATTTACCTAATCCCTCGTGGATGGCTCTGGGCGCTGCTGCCTGTCTTCCCTAGAGAAGTAGGAAATGTCCTGGGCTTCCCAACAAGGGCTGGCCCCACCTCTGAGTTCTCTGCACAACTGAATGGAGACGTCTGTAGGTGGAAGCGGAGGCTGCAGGGGTCAGTGGTTAGGTGAGATGGCCTCTGGAAAGGTTGGGTGCTGGACAAACCCCCAGGGAGGCGGTGGTGGCGGGAGCGTGGTGCTCTCCCCCGTCAGGGAGCAGGGCAGGTTTTCCTGCTGCTGAGGCGCAGAGCGACTCCTGGAGCAGGTACCCCTTGCAGAAAAGTGCAGCCCAGCTGCTGAGAGCTAAACGGTATCGATTGAGAATTTAATTGCCCCATAATCACTCAGTACACACTGGCTGGTCCGATGATCAAGCTCCAGGTCCATCCTGGCCAGCAGATGGATGTTCTGCCCACACTAAGGAAGAAAAATGCAGGGCTCTCCCTCACTGCTGCTCTTGGAAACTCGTCCCAGCCAAGCCCCAGCCTCCCTGCAGACCCCGCTTTTCTCCTGGGGGCAGATGAGAAGCCCGGGTGTGCCCGGGCAATGTGGGGCCCAGGAGGGACAGGGCTGTGGCTCTCTAAACTGACAGAGCATATGAGGTAGGAAATGTAGGCTACAACAAATTTTTATGGTGGGAACATGTAAAACTCAATGCACAGAAAAGTAAAGCACCGGAAGCTTGCACACTCAGATATGAACAGTAATTAATTCTATATGATTTGATTCCATTATTTTCCTCTTCATATCTGTGGTTTACGTATTTTCAACAACTAGCACGCATAACTCACAATCAGAAGAAACAGATGCTATTTAAATCAAATGAAATGGCTAGAAGAATTTCTGCAAAAACCCTTATTAAAACCTCCCAGCAGCAGCGCCGGGGGAAGGGGTTAAGTTTTGGAGCCAGTCTTGATTCCAGCTCCAGATCGGGACAGCAGTGGTTCCTTTGCCAGGGTCCTCAGCGCCCCTCTATCCCAGATTCCTCATCTGTACATGGGCATCACCTCTCTCTCACAGCCTGTGTGGCAGCGTCCCTGGCATGTGCAGTACCTATCAATTTCTCTTCTGTCCTGGAGTAAGCGTGGAGTGAGTGAGAAAGAAGAGCAAGTATCAGAAGGAAGGGGGTCGCTCTGGGCCGCTGGGGCTCACAGCAGCCCCAGCATTCCGTGCTCTCTTCCCGCGCGGCCCCAGACTGGGAGCTGCGCTGCTCCCTCCCCTGCCCCGCCCATGTCCTGCCACTGCCTCCCATTACTCTAGTAGAAGCCAATCTTCCTCCTCCTCTCAGCCCCATTACTACCCACAGAGACAAATGCACTGCCATTCTGCAATTCTGCTCCACCTGGGAGGCAGCTGGCCAGCTCCAGGGTCATTGTTCCCAATGTCACTGAGAACCTAAAAGCGAGGGCGCCAGTGGGATCCAAGGAGGACTGTAATTATAAGCCTATTCAGCTCCCTAGAATAAAGCCTGCCATTAGCTAACAGCAGGGAGGGTCAACATGAGATCTCCAGCTTCCAGGAAGAAAGATCCTGACCTCACCTCCCCACCTGAGGGCCAGTTACCCTGGCAGGCATGGGTGTGATTGCCCAGGTCTGTGGGGGGATCCAGGGGCAGGATAATCCTGCCTGGTCATCCAGTCTTAGCCCTTCATCGACTCACAGCTGATCCATTGTATGCGACTCCCTGAGCCACCACCTCCACAGACAGCAGAAGCTTCCAGATCCCCACCTCCCAGGTCTTCACACTCTGGCCACACTGCTGACTGGCAGGTTCCTCTGCAGGTGGCTGGGGAAGGTCCCAGCCCCCAGCAAGGCCATCCTAACCTCCAGGGCTGAGGTATCTATGTCTCTTTAGGAGCTGATCAGTGTTTCAGGCCCCAGGGTCTCTGAGAGACAGCTGAGTTTCCTCTGGATGAGGGTTGGCTGGGATAAAACAGCTGATCAGGTAGGTAAGCTGCTGCCACAGCCCTCAGAGACTCAGGAAAGAAACACCTGCTCAGGCGGGCAGCCTGGGGGGCCAGGACGGGGCAGACACAGTGCACGCTCACTCATGCTAACCTGGCCTCAGCCAGTACAGAGGCAGGCAGGGAACTCCCACGGCTGGCTGCAGCCACACACCAAAGACCCAGAGTTCAGACTGATTGAATTTGGGTTCCCTACTGGGGTTGCCTATGGAGATGGCTGATTGACTTATTCCTGAAAGTCCTCAAAGGAGGCCATAACTGAGCCAGAGGTGGGCCAGTAGGGAGGGGTAGGGCTGGCCTCACCGCGCCAGAGGGACCCAGAGGGCTCTGTGCCCACTCTCCTGTGCCGGGGCCCCAACCTAGGCTTTGACCTGAGGACTTGCTCCCAGATGACTCCCTGGGAAGTATGGCCATCCTCTCTAGAGGTGGACGTCGGGTGGGAAGGGGTCGTGGAAAGACTGGGAGCAGGGATATTGAGGGTCTGGGGGGAGAATTTAGGATGGAGTTCCCCGGGAGGCCCAGAACAGACAGACCGATTGACACATGCCCTGCTGGGCTATGCAAAGACCTCCTCCCAAAGAAGCCAGGACACAGACATCAGACAAAGACAGACAGACAAGCAGGCTCTAGAAAACTACAAACCACACGGACAGACAGGGTGACTTGGAACAACAGGAACTAGAGACAAGCTACAGCTGAAGCTCTGGGCGTCTTGGAGGCCAGTTTCTCTGCCCCACAGATGGTCATAACGGGCAGCGTTTACAAGCCCCTCCATGAACATTATAGATCGCACTTCCCACCTTCCTCCCTCCAATCTCCCGCCCCCTCCTCAGTGCAAGGTATCTAGACAGATGGCCGACAGTCAGGGAACTAAGGTAATGGATTTCTTGGCATCCACCCCACACCTTGGAACACCGCTGGTCCTTGGGAGCCTTGACCCCATGAGGGCCTCTCCCCTCAGCCCTCCCTTGCCCCTTCATAACTTACCTTCTCAGATGCTGCAGGGGTGCAGCGACTCCTCCCACCCCTTCCCACCCGGACCAGGGCTGCATGCAGACGGAGGAGAGCTGATGTGTGGAGGAGCGTGAGGGGCGGGAAGGAGACAGAGGCAGGAGCAGGTTAGACCCAAGGAAGACACTTGTCACCTGTCCCTGGCAGGCCGGGGCTTCCCGAGCGTGAGTTACCCAACATCACCACAGCCATCTTGGTTAGCGTACATCAGACGCTCACTGACGTGAGCTGAAGTGATAGGGTGGGAGGCAAACTTCTTTCCTGTCAAGGAAGGCCATGTTTAGGAAGGAGACTCAGGCTCTGTGTCACAGGAAGGAGCCGGGCCCTTCCGCCTCCTCCTCGCTTGTCACCTTTGATGTTTCCAGGAGATCTACTCTTCCTTTTCCTCTTGTACTATTTCACTATTCCATTTCCTCCATTCTTCTAATTTCTAGGTGAGTCGTTTTCAATCTGGGGGTAACTTAATGTGACCCTAGATAGGGGATTCCCAAGGCTGCAAAGGGGCCTTACTTGTCTCTGGTCCCTGGGCCTGGCCCACAACTTGGCACAAAGATCACTCCAAGGATCAACACAGCACCGGACCAGCCACAGGGAGGTCCCACCCCTCCTTGGCCAGGGACTTCAGGACCCCCAAGGTGTGTCCCCATGGTCTCTGCCTCAGAGCCCCGCCTCCTTCTCTGGCCTCTGCTGATTTCCCCTCAAGGGAAGTCAAGTACCAATGCCCTCCAGGACTGCGTTTCTGTGCCCCTAGTTAATGACCACCACCTCTGATAACTGTCTAGGTATTTTCTAAGAACTAAAGGGGAAAATATCATAGCACAGCCAAATCTTAAACATGAAAATAGGGCACACTGGGAGCTGTGCCTCAAGTTTTAAGTGTAGGCATTGCTATTTCCTGTGTGACACAGACAGGTCCTGAGTTTCTGGACCTGCGACTTTCTCTCATATAAGATGAGGATGATGACCTGCCTGGTCCGAGTTCACGGAGCAGCCGAAGGTCATGTGACTACGAGTAACCGCTGCTTTCTAGACAGACCAACCCCTGCTCTACAGATGAGGAAATCTAAGGCTGCAGAGTTACACAAATTGCCTCAATTCTTTCTCACATCAAGGGGCTGAGGAGAGAGCCCATTTTCGGCCAGAATCCAAATGAGGGAAAGAACAAGTTAAGAAAAAAGAAATGTGAGGCAAAAAATGTAGGAAAAAAGAGAACAAACGACAGAGAATAGATGAGAATGGCAGGACAAGGACTTCACGTGGAAGAGGAAGAGGAAAAGTGGGGACACACAGGGCAAGACACAGAGGGGGCACCAAGAGTAGGCTGTGGCATGGAAGAAAGAGGCTGCAAGGAAAGAGACGGGAGGAGGAATGACCCGGAAGGACAAGGACACCAAGCCCTGCCTGTCAACAACCCCTGCCAGCCAGAGCTGGGAAACCCTCAGAATTAAGCCAGTCACTCTGGCTTCTCCATAGAAGGAGAAAGTTAGGAAGAAAAATCTAAAACTTTGCTGTAAGGGGAGGGTCAGAAGATCGAGTGTCCACTGAGCTCAAACACTCTGCCATGTGACATGCGTGTTATCAGATTCGTGTCCCTTGGTGTTTATCAAAATTATATTTTATACCAGTCCCTTAGAAGGAAGAAGTATGGGTTTGGGATTTGAGTGACAGGGCACGATGACCTTAAATGTTAGGAAAGGGTCATCTGGGCCCTGAGGAAGGAGGGAGGGGGATGATGAGGTTGGGCACGTGCAGTGGTATGGCCGCAGATGAGGGGAAGGAGAAAAACAAACGAACTCACACCGGACTCCAGGGGAGCCCCAGGAGTTGTGTTAGGAGAGGAGGGAAGGTCGTGGGAGAAAGTGGGGAGGAAGGGCCCCGGGTCCCACCTCTGAGAAGCCAGGTCAGAGCAGGCAGGCTTCTGCTCGGCGTCAGCAGCTGGACAGCAGAACTGGTGCAGCACGGTCTCATTCCTGTAGGCAGAACAGAGAAGGTCAGAAGCGGTGAACCAGACTGGGCAGCTCTACCCTGTGCTGAGACACTTTTTCTCACCCCTGCTATCTGTTCTCTGCCACCTGAGTCCCTGTGGACATGGGTGACCAATACTGCTGCAGTGAAGTGCACGACATTGGACGAGTCTTTTCCAATCATCTTTAGGCCAAGTTTAAATGCCACCTCCTGTAGGGAGCTTCCATGGCCAGCCCAGGCTCCCTGCTTCTAGACCCCCATCGCTGTAGGGAGGGTTTACCATCTGTCCTGCTCTATCTCTTCTCTTAGCTCCTTATGATGCTGTTCCCTGCTAAGGTCCTGCAAGATCTGCATGCACCAAACATCTTCAAATTTATTGCAAAGACACAAAGCATTCAGATGGAGACTTTCATCCTGCCAGTCGAGACTCCAAGGCATGGTATTTGATGAAGGCTTGGTTTGATATAAAAGAGGAAGCCAGTCCTGCAGCTGGCCAGTGTTATGATACATAGTTCAATTTTTTTGAGTCTCAATTTATTTACTGTTGAAGTCACAGAGTTGAACTAGAGAAGTGATTATTGACACTGACTGCATATTTGAATCACTAGATTTTTAAAAATATCACTCTCTGGGTTCTACCCCCAGGGACTCTAAATCATATGATCTGGTAGGATCCAGGGTACCAAGACTTTTTATAAATTTCTAGGTGATTTAAAAGGAAACAGTATGGTTTCTGTCCAGATGTCCCCCCAAAGCTTCATGCAGTCATGAGAGGAATGCCTTTTAAAGGCAGCTGAATCTAAAGTTTGTGATTGATTCATTGTCTAGAGCTGGGATTATGGGTAGGAGTGCCACATCCACCCTAGGTTAGGTAACCTGCAAACAATATAAGGGACAGAAGGTCTTTTCTCTTGTTCCTTCCTGTTTGCTCGTGTTGCTTTTGCTGTCTTCCGCTGTCATAAACTGATACTCCTCTTCTATGCCCCACTCCCTGGAGCCAGCTGATTATGAACTGACACCTCCATAGGCTTCGAGCTAAATAAACCTTTCCTTCCTTAATTTTGGGTATCAGATATTTTATCTCAGCAACAGGAGAAAAATAACCAACACAGATAGCCAGGATCCAGAGGCACTAGACTAGATTTCCAAGGTTGCTCCTCGCTCTTAAATGCCGTAATTCTGAGACCCATACTGAGCCAACCTGGTGGTGAATACTGCAGCCATCACTGGATGAAGCTGTACTGATCTATCACCTGCTCTGTCTTTCTAATGGGTCCCCATCCTGGGCTTTATGGAGCCAGAGAAGTTCAGAACTGGGAAGTCTCCAGAGACTATAGGAAAGGAATCTTCTAAATTTGTCCAAACCAAACTTTACTAGAAGCCCATTTAGTGAAATAACATATCCAGAATAGCTTCATGGTTGGGAAATTGGAAGTCTACAGTCTCTTCCCAGGTATCACAGCCTTGATTTTGCTAGCTACTTCCTTGGCCCATTTTGGGAGCTACTAGATTCTGAGATTAATAGACTGAAAATTCTGAGTTTAGCTATCCTCGTAGTAAGTAATATTGGCACCTACATTAATTTGACAAAAATAGATGCCAAGAGAGTATATGTCTAAATGAGAAAAAAATTCAGAAGAAGACAGGGATATAACTTTTGAGTTTGGAAGATTAAAAAAAAAATAACCAGAAAAGTGCAAAGTCATTGATATATATAGATATATCTATATATTTATATATACATTTATCTATATCTATATCTATATATGGATATGTATCTATGTATCTATATCTATATAGAAAACATTTTGTATTGAAAAACAGTGCATGCCTGTAATCTCAGTACTCAGGAGGCAGGAGGATTACTGTGAGTTCAAAGCCAGCCTACACTACATAGTAAGACCCTATATTAAAAAAATGATAGACTAGGAAACTATATTTGCACCAAATATGATGGAAGGCAGGTTAGTTAATACTTTTTTCCACTTTGAGCCCTAATATGCTGCTTAGACAATGACAAACCCGCAGGAGAAAAATAAGCAGATTGTGAATAGCTGTTGACAGAGAAGGAAAGTCAAAGAGCTAATAAACATGCAGAAAGGTGTCCCACATTACCAGTTTATGCAAATTAAAGTAGCACTGAGATGCTATTATTCACTCATCAGACTGGCAAACATTAAAAAGACTGCTAAATACAAGTGTTGGTGAGGCTCTGGGGAGAGAATTACTCCGAGGCACTACCTGTATAGATGTGAATTTTTACCATTTTGTTTGGGAATTAAAAAGGAAATATGATTCCTGAACCAAAAGTTCTATTTCTGGGATTTTACTGGTTCATAAATTATTTATTCAATTATTTAGGGCAGCGTTGTTTTAGTGGTGGAAGGGGACAGCCAGAGCAATCTGGGTCACCATCTACCACAGAATGATTGAATAAATGTTTGATCTCCACACCTTGGAATCATGTACCTTTCAACAAGAACCAGTTAGCATTGCATCTCTTAGCCTGGATGGATTTCCACAATATATGGCTAAATGAAAAAAGCAATTTGCAGAGAACTATATATATCATCATCCTAGTTTTGTAAAACAAACGTGACACCTCTCTCCAAATGCGTATTTTATACATGTATCTATATGAATGCACTGTATTTCATGAGTGCAAACTAAGTCTGAACTCTGACTACCCTAGCTGGTTGAGAATAGGAACAAAAGAGAGTGGAGGTAGGGAAAGGAAAATAGTGGTTGATGTAATGGTAACTGAAAATGTTTCTTATTTATCATATCACTTTTAATCTTGATGGCCAGACTGACTAGATTAAAACTCTTAGAGAGATGACTAGATTGTGAAGTGGTGGGTAATCTCATGTGTGGGTGAATCCAAAGTTGCATGGGTGGCTAGGAGGTGGCGTCTACGCGGAGGAAGCAAGTCATGGGGGGCGACCTTGAGTACGGTGTCTGATTTCCGGCCCTTTTCTCTTGGGCTCTTGCCCTGACCCTTGCTTTGTAGAAACCATGACTTCAGCAGCTTTCTTCTGCCCTGTGCTTCTGCCATGATGCCTGTACTGTGGAGCCAGCCAACCATAGAATGAAACCTCTGACACTGGGAGCAAAATAAGCCTTTCCTCCTTTAAACTGTGTGTGTTAAATATTTTGGTCACAGTGACAAGAACCTGAATGATATATATTGTACATATATCCTCTTATTGTAAATAAACCTGAATGTACCTAGAGGACTCAAAAGTGTCAGAAATCATTACAAATACTGATGTGGCTTCAGGATGTTATCATGAAAAAAATGGTTTTCATTGAGGTCTTGCAATGAGCTGCATCCAGCCCTTTTAATCTTTTATTTTGAGACAACGTCTCACGGGGTTTCCCAGGTTGGCTATGAACTGCGATCAGTTCGCTTCAGCCTCCTGAATAGCTGGAATTACAGGTATGTACCACTGTGTTCAGCTAATAAGCAATTTTTGTGACAAATTGTTGTTAAGGGGTAGATTATTGAATATAAATTGTATGTAATCTATAGAACATGAGTTAAAAGTTAACACAACTAATATAAAATTTTAAAGAGGCAAGGTCTAGGGATGCAGCTCAGGGGTACAGCACGTGCCAGGCCTGTGTTCTATTCCCGGCACTGCAGAAAATATAAATAAATAAATACTACAGAAAGTAAAACTCCGGAAATAACAATGATCCATTATTTTACAAATGAAAAAACAGGCCCAGAGTGAAACACACTGCTTAAAGTTGTCCCCTGGTTAGTCCCTGATCAGTTTTCCAGCCTTCTCACTCCCTTCCCATTGCTCCAGAGTTCCTGGGGCAAATCAGAGCCTTGGAGAACTTCCCGGAACGAGAAGGTCTTGTGGAGGCATCCAGAGCTTTCTGGTCTGAAGAGAAGGAAAAAGAAGAGACAGGGCAGGACCTGGATGGCTCGAGGGAGAGGACGGGGGAGCCAGGGTGTAGATAGAGCCTTTGGTATGGTTATCTGCATCTCCAGTTCCAAGTCACCAGCTGTGCCTGTGCCAGAGCAGGTTTGGGGTTCCTGACAAAAGCTACCAAGAGGACAGCAAAGACACAGAGCTTGTCCCGCAGTCACAGCGTTGACAGCTCAGGATGTACAACCACCAGATACCATCACTTGCTGGCACAGCAGTGCCTGGAGGATGCCGTTCTGGCCTTGAGATCCTTTCTCAGAGGCTTCCTCTCAAGCCACCCAGGCCTAGAGTGCTGCCCCCAAGGAATGCCAGGGTCCTCACTGTTTGGTTGCATCAGAATAAGCAATGAATGGCACAGCCTGAGTGTACCTGAACTTGTGCACCCCAAACTAAGACTGGCAGTGCTCTCGGGGTGCAGTATTTGTTGGGGTTTCTGCAAGTAAGCTCCTTTGCAAAGTCTAGCTGAGGAGGAGGCTCATTTGCCAAGTCTTCCCCTATAGCTCCTCCTGTACCCACTTCCCAGAGCCCCATCTCAGCAGGGGACTCCCAGGTGGCCCTCCTCGCCTTTCCCTACAGTTCAGCCCAGGCTGAATTGCAGATACTGCTCTACCTGCCTCTGACTGACCCCCTGTCCAAGGCCGTGGTCCAAATCCATTGTCGGAACATTATCTTCAACTTCATGGGTGTCCCTTCCCTCTGCCCAAAGGAGATCTCAAAGAGAAGGAGCCAAAGAATTCCTTCCCATTAATAATAAAACTGGAGCCATGATGAAAAAGTTACCCTCTCTCTGGGTGTTCTTCTCCAAAATGCATAACAATGGCCTCATAGTGAGAAAACCAGCAGACAATGCAGGTTCCAAAAGCACTCTGCAAAATACCTGGCTGTCACTCCGAAAAACTATTAAGGTCACGAAAACTGCAAAGAGACAGAGGTTTTCACGGACCAGAGGAGACTGAAGCAATACAGTGACTATCACATGATATCCTGAACAGATGGGACTGGGGCAGGAAAGAGGACAATAGTGGGAAACCAGCGACATACAAACAAGGTCTGAGCTTCGGTTG